CTAACGGTCTTATGGTCAGGACATTTAAGGCGGACTGCTCTCAAAGCAAAGCTGTAACGGTCATTAACCCCAAACCTGCTTTGAACACCTACACAAAAATGGACCCTAAAGTTGGCCAATGGATTGCCAAAGATCAAGTAAACAATCATGGCCCAACTAAACATGAAGCCCAAAATGTGCCTAAACTGAAGCTACATGCTTCTACTGAACCTGAACCTATTTCAAAGGAGAAATCCAACATCTCCCCTAAAGGCCCGCTTAATGGCCAACCCTCATTTATCACAAAAACAACCAAACCTGTTACCTGCTCCACAAATCCCTTCACTCCATTAATGCTCGAAGACAAAATATTGTCTGATACTGAAGAAAATCCCCAACCTTCATTACCATCTCCTCCGAAACCCCTCGGTGTTGATGGAGTTGTGTCCATTCCTGCCGGAGCATCCAAGAACTCAGGTGTTCTTAGTCAAGGAACAAATGGCAGTCCGAATGGAGACAGCGCTGGAATGGATCTTGGATTGTGTCTCCCCCAGAGGATCCAGATGGACAATGGAAAAACTATTTGCAGCTTGGCGAGCACCAATCCTCACAAACATGGAAGTGAATCTCCCAGAAATAGTCCAACGTATTCCAGAGCCAGTGGAGGAACCGAATCAGGTGGATCTTCTCAAAATCCTGAACCTCGAGTCTCCAGAAGAAGAGCAAGGCGAAGTAGAAATGTCGGGCCTTATTATTCCCCTTATAATCAGCAGTGCAACGTATATGCAGCATCTGAAGAGTGTGGTATTTCAAGGAAAGATGGAAAAAATCCACCTTTTCATCAAAGTGCACTGGTCATTGATGACGCGATCGGAGAGGGACTTCAAAGTCTTAGTGCTTCCTTATCATTTTCCAATGGCGAGGTTCCTAACTTGGCACAACCCCTCTCCACTGCCGGTAATGAACCCATGGTTAGCCCGATTGGTCCTGGGACCACAACCCCCTGACGATTGGATTATGAAGATTATCTCATGGAATTGCTGGGCTGCAGCAAAATCCAACTTCCATAAGGGTGCTATGGATCTAAAGCGCATTCACAATCCCTCAATGATGTTGATTCCTGAAACAAAGCTAACTGGACAAGATGCCAGAGACCAAGCGGCATCCCTTGGCTTCCCCAAATCTTGTATTGTGGATTCAGAAGGTCTCGTAGGAGGATTATGGCTACTATGGGATGACTCGATGGTGAACGTTGATGTGGTCTCACATGGCTCACAGGCAATTCATGCGGTGGTCCAGGTACACAATAATCCTTTATTTCATTCAAATTGGTTTTTTTTTCTGGAATTTATGGTAGGCCTCAATTGAGATTTGAAACTTACTTTGGCAAGAGTTAAAGAGTATGGCAAATAGTATTTCTATTCCTTGGATGATTATTGGTGATTTCAATGATATATTAGATCAGAGTGAGAAATTTGGGGGCAATCCTCCTTCACAAACTAGAGTGGAGGCCTATTTAAATTGCATGAATGCTTATAACATGATTGACCTGGGATTTATTGGCAATAGATTTACTTGGATTAACTGCAAATTTTCTAGTCAACTTATTAGAGAAAGATTAGATAGGGCCTGGGCTAATCCTGACTGGAAACTTATCTTTCCTGAGTCAGCTGCTTTTCATCTTCCCCGTACCCACTCTGACCATTGCCCTATCCTTCTTGACCTCAACCCAATACAATCTAGACATGGTCTCGACCTTTCCGGCTAGAGAAATTTTGGGTTGATCACCCTGAGTTTCAACTCCTGGTTCAACAAATATGGTCTGATTATAATAGCAACACTTCTAATTGTCTCCAACAAACTATGCAAAAAGCTAGAGTTTGGAGCATTGCTGCTTTTGGGAACATATTTAAGGAGAAGAAGAAATTACTGGGTAGGTTGGAAGGGATTCAAAAATCCTCTGCTTATAACTCTTCCTCTTTTTTATGGCAACTAGAGAAGGACCTGCTTCAAGAATATAACAATATTCTTAATATGGAAGCAGATCTATGGTTCATGAAATCTAGGGCTAATTGGTTGGTGGATGGAGATAGGAATACCAAGTATTTCCATTGCTCCACTATTAAGCACAAATCTAGGAACAGGATTTATGGGCTTAAAAATCAGCATGGGGAATGGGTTTATGATGGTAATTCCATTGCCTCTATTGCTTTGGAGTATTTTAATACTCTCTTTACTACGTCACAATCTTATTCTTATTTTGACTCTTATGCTAATATTGGTTGTGATGCCCCTCATTCCTTTGACCTTAGCTCCATTAGCAGTACTCCCTCAGAAAGGGAAGTGCTGGATGCCATCAATTCAATGAAACCTTACAAAGCTCCTGGACCGGATGGTATTCATCCCTTCTTTTATCAGAAGATGTGGCATTTTATCAAAACCACTTTATGTCGTGATATCCAGGAGATCTTTTTTACTGGTAATATCCCTATAGAGTGGTCTAAATGTCTTCTTCTCCTCATTCCTAAAGTCAATTCACCAGAATCCATCCAACAGTTTCGACCTATTAGCCTTTGTAATACCGCCTCTAGAATTATCTCTAAGATTCTTGTTCATAGGATCAAGCCTTGGATGGATAAAATTATCTCACCTTGTCAGGCTAGTTTTATCCCGGGTAGGCAAGGCACTGATAATGTTCTTATTCTTCAAGAGTTTGTCTATTCCTTTAACAAGAAGAGGGGCAGAATTGGA